ACATTTTGTATGCTGTGATGATGCTTAGGGAAGGAATGTAAATCAAGTTACAAAAAAAAAGAAAAGTTTCAGAAAAAAGAAAAATCCATTCCATGACCGCAGTAAGATATATAGCCCCAGCTAGGTGCTACTTTATAGGATGCCTAAAGTTAGACTTGTGTTCATGGAAATGTATATTATCAGCTGTGTTTGCTATGAAAATATTTAGATTAATTAAGATCTTTAGTAATTCAATAAAAAATGGGGGGAAAACAGTATAGAAAGTAAACATAGATATCGGAGACAGTGTGGGAAGAGAGTGGGAGATGGTAGAGGGTAAGAGATAGAGAATCAAGGATGGGGGTCAAAACATACAGGAAACTAGAAATGGAACATTATTTGTTGACAATAACATGTATATTGATGTGCTTGATTGAGACAATATACAGTATACTCGACTTTAAAAAAAAAAAAAGAAACTAATAAAGCAACACTGGCCAAGTTTCACCCTTTAATTTTTATCTCCTGGCCAGTAACCTGCTGAGAAAGTCGTACATATGAAAGTGACTTACCAGGAGTATAGACTTTGTTTTGTTTGAGTCCGTGGGTCTGCACTAACTTCTCCGCCACAATAAACATAGGCCTCTGGATTAGAATAAACTTGTTGTTTCCTACCTCAAGCTTTTGCCTCATGAATGTGAAAGTTCCAAGCCCTGGAATCTGAACCCCCTGAAAAGGAAAAAAAGAAGGGGGAAAAAAAAGAGTAATAAACAGAATTTACTAAAGAGGAAAAAAATTATTCTTTAATACTCTTATCTAAAAAACATAAAAATAATTAAACTTGGGCTTTAAAAATGCAATGATCTCTGAGCCAGCAAGTGGTATGGTAGTTAAGACACTAGACTCCCACATGGCCAACCACAGTTAGAGTCCTGAACCTAGTGGCTTGCTTTTTCACCTTCTCTCTGGCTCTCTCTGGTCAAACTAAAAAAAAAAAAAAAAAAAAAGCAAATAAACAAAATAAAATAAATAATTATTTAAAAGCAATTTCAATGATCTCTGAAATCCTTTATAGCCATAACATTTTATGATTGTAAATTTGTGTTTTCATTTTTAATTTTGCCAAAGAGCACTTTCACTAACTAGAGAAAGGGAAAGTGAGAAAACACCACCCTCCTCCAATAAGGGATGGTCATGCCACAATCCCTTCTCTTCCTTCTCCTTTCAGGATTTTGGGTACGCATACACACATGTTCAGTGTGTTTCTCAAGTACCCAGGTGTGGGACTTGAACCGTGCCATTGGCCATATGGGAGTCAACTGCCTAAATCACCATACCACCCACCAGCCTGATTTTTTTTCAAAGATATCCAGTGTAAAATGCAATGTGTTGGGGCTGGCAGGTGGCATAGTGGTTGAGGGCACTGGACTCCCACATGGCCGACCACGGTTTGTGAGTCCTGGACCTGGCAGCTTGCTTTCTCTCTTTCTCTCTATCTCTCTCTCTCTCTCTCTCTCTCTCTGTCCTTCTCTAGTCAAAGTTAGTTAGTTAGTTAGTATGTATGTAAGTAAATAATAGTTACATAAAATAGTTCTTAAGGAAAAAAAAGTAATGTGTTGACCCTCAAAGCTTTACATTAGATCCCTCATCCCTCATCCTCATATCATTAAAAGGCTGTGAAGACTGAGAAACCCTCAGATCTAATTTTCATCTAGATCTAAGATTACTCTTGTCCTAAACTGTATGACATTTTACATTTTAATTATTTACCAGTAAAATGTGGGAATTTAAGCAGGTATAAGAATCTTTAGTTTTCTCATCCCCTTTTTCATGTTTTATGTTTCCGATTTAAAATCAGGCAATCCAGCATCCAAGTCATGTGCTGCATGAAGTGATCTTGACTGATCAGTAAAGCAAATGCTTCTCACTCTTAAACTCATTCCCACGTGGCCAACCATGGTTCAAGTCCTGGATCGGGTGATATGCTTTCTCCCTCCCCCCCGCACTCCCCCCTACCCTCCACCACCAACCAGGTCAGGTCAAATTAAAAAAAGAAAGAAAGAAGAAGAATGGAATTAAATAAATAAATAATTCTTTATGGGGTGGGAAAAAACTCAAATGCCTACCAGGACCAAAAGAGAATGGGAAGGAGCAAAGGTAACCAGCCAGAGACTGATGACTAGAGCATCCATTTCCCATCTACAGCGCAGAGCCCATCATCGTTTTCAGCTATGTTATCACCCAAGAGTACAAGACCAATATTGTTATATCTGCAATTTTTCAAGAAAAGGCAAAAAAAAAAGCTAAATGTTAGGTAAATTGTCTCAATGCTAAGTGATGACAACTAATTCAAAGTCTCAAGTCAAACAAAATGAGTAAGAAGGATGAATTCCACCCAAGGGATCACAGTGGGACCTCTGAGTAAAGTACTAAACTCCCACAACTTCCTGGCTCTCTCCAAGTTCCTTCCAGAATCTCTGTCCAGTTCTCAGTTCTATGGCATCTAAATCAAAGACTGACAGAAAGAATAGTCCAATCCCGGGCAAAGTTTCTCATTTTGGCAGGTTGAGGTTAGTTCCTAATTGTCTTCCTCTATTTTAATTAAGATCCATTTCCTACAAGGAGGCAAGCCAAGAAGCTTATATCCTTCTACAGCTACGCCAGGAACTGTCAGAACATGGACAAATAGAACCCATCTAGTGTCTTCGCACAAATCCAGGCTCGTTAGCACTGTGCTCTAATCACTAAAAGAGCACAATTTACAAATGTGTTAGCTAAGGATAAAATCCACATTTGTTAAATCCACTATTCACAAATCTAAGTGTGAGCAGCATAAAATCACAGGACTGAAAGTTAAAATGGGTGGCTCTACGTTTACTGCTCTGCTTCAGGCAAAAGTCTATATGTAAGACTATGGAGGACAGATCCTTTGGACTCCTACATGAAAATTATAGACCCTACCTTGTGCAAGGTGAGCTGCCGTTCCACAAATTCTGATACATTCCCCCAGATAGTACAGACTTCTGAAAATCAACAAAAATCAAAATTAATCTATATGCACATCCATATAACAGAATATTAGTGCTAATAAGTAAAAATGTAAATATAAATGCAGACTCAAAGGAAAATTCCTAGATAATTTAGAATATAAAATAAGGCCATTCCCCAAAGTTAATTTTCTGGTAAAGAAAGCTTACCCATTTAAGTACTGAAGATGTGACTTAAACAACAACAATAATACATTTTTTTAAGAAAATCCTTCTAGAATAAAGAGAACTCTGTCTCACATTTCTCTTATTCTATAAAGAGTTAACCAAGTATAATGACCCATTAAATAAAAACCGATCAAGTGTCAACTTTGCCACCAGAATGAGATGATCATTCTTACACTTCTCTCTTACACAGGACTAAGGCTAAAGGCTTCTAAGGCATGAAAGACTGTCATCTGTACACTCACTGTCCCTATACTTCCATTTCTGCTAAATTCTTTATTATTATTCAAGAATTTTATTTCATTTTATTTACTTACATTTTTAATTTGACCGGAGAGGGACAGAGCAAGAACAAGAGCGAGAAAGAAGAGAGAGGGAAGGGGAGAAAGCAAGCCATGAGGTCCAGGACTCAAACCATAGTCGGCCATGTGGGCGTCCAGCACCTTTAACCACCATGCTATCTGCTGGCCCCACATTTCTATGAAATTCTTGAACCTACTTTTAATTTTCATTTTCCACTGTTAGACTATCAGCCATCAGTTCTCAGTGCTATAACAGCTTTGTGGACACCCTCTTCTAACAGCAGCAGTCCTAACTCACTGCTTCTGGTCTGTATGCCCTAGAGATAACAAATATACTACTATTACATCTGAAATAATAACTTCAAAAAGTAGACCTTTGGGAGGCCCAGCAGGCATGGTGGTTAAGGCACTGGATGGACAATTCCACATGGCTGACAACGGTTCAAGTCCCAGACCTGGTAGCTTGCCTTCTCACTTTCCCTTTCTCTCTCTCTATCTCTCTCTGGTCTAATTAAAATAAATAAATGAATAATTTTTTTAAAAAAAGTAGACCTTTGGGTAGGGAATCATGGAGCTGTACTTCACATTAACACATAGACCTGACACTATCTACTTTGATCTGAGAAAGACCTTTCTATCTTTATTTTCTTGTTCTGAGCTGTGTTCCCAAAATCTAGCAGAAAACAAGTGGTTGCCAATAACTGAAGTATTATTGTGCAATACGGACATATACCCTAGGTATGAGTAATACTTAGAAATATAGACAATTATATTTGTGTTGACATGCCCATTCTAGAACTAATTATGTGCTTGTAAAGATACCTTTATATTACAAATCAAAAGAAAATTAAGCTTTAATTCTCAAAATCAAAATTAAAAACAGATGTACCAGCTTGCCACTTTGGGACACAGATGTAGCTGGTGACAAGAGACCAATTTTTTTCCCACTTTGGAAACTTATTTATTGGTATAACTTTTTTTTTTTTCAATTTTTGCTATCAGATGCATGTACTCACTGGAGAAACAGAGAGAGGAAGAGTGATACCACAATTCCTTCTCTCTCATTCTTCCCTCAGTATTTTGGGCACACATGCATATATACCCAGCATGTTTGTTAAACCTGCAGGTCTGGAACTCAAATTGCATAGTCGGCCATGTGAAACCCAGCCTCCTTAACCACCATGCCCCCAGTTGGCCTGGTTTAACTTATTTTTTTCTAATGGTTTAAACCACTAAAGCTGGCACATTGTGATCCTTTCATTCTGGTACATATCAGAGTTATAAGTATTTATAATTACTATTCAAGGGAAGAGGCAGGTTTGGTGGGTGAGAAGTAGCTGTGACTCTCTCAAGCACCTTAGAACTGGTTTGGAGACAGAAAGTCTCTTGCCACCAGAGAATTGCACTGTGTGCCTCTGTGAGCAGGAGGGCCATGACTCTGTCTCCCACTCCAAACCACGGATATAGAGTTTCCAAGGTGATTTCCCTAGCCTGCTTCATCCTAGCACACCACCTACCTCTCCCAACCTCACAGCCAAAAAACATCGATGCTGGCTACTTCGAACTAAGAAGGCCTCTCAACCAGTCCCAACTGTATACTGAACTAAAATCTTCATTATGAACAGAAACGCTATTAATTCACTAGTACTACAAAATCTTAGTATTCAGATTTACATTGAGACGTGTCAAAGTAATTAAGTGAAAACTGGGACGGTTCTGTCTCTAAATCTTTCACTTAGATTCATGATATGCAGCTCAGATTTCAGAAAAACAATCTGCATCAAAGAAGAAATTATTTAACTGGGGCCAGGAGAAACCGTATAGCTTAGGACCAAATCCTAGTGAAAGGACTTGACTGAGCTAAACTGGAAATTTGAGGAGTCTCTCTTCTTTTGAATGATATATTCAAATCTGCCATATTTACTCTGTTACATCTAACTGACAAGGTTACATAAGAGCAAAGAGATATTTATTGTAAAGTGAAATCTGCTATTTCTCACTGAATCAAAGGAAAGCAAGCATATCAGTCCTCATAAGGAGCTCGAGGTTCCTACAATTCAGTTGGAATGTGTGGAAATCTTACAGACTGTGACTGATTTCTTTTTTTTTTTTTTTTGAGAGGTTTTCACTATAGGGTGTGTACGCTCACCAGAAAAGACAGAAAGAGACATAGAGACAGAAAGCGAGAAATCAGCCTCCAAGGGGGATGGCCATGCCACAATCCCTTCTCCTCCAGTCTCCTCTCAGGATCTTGGGCACAAACGTACACAGGTCCGACGCGAGTTTAAACCACCATGTCCGGGACTTGAACCGTGGTCAACTACATGGGAATCCAGCAACATAGCCATTACACCAATTGCTGGTCCAAGTTGTTATTATTATTTTTTATTGTTTTATCATATCTTTTCTCACATCCCAAAGTGTCAGAGAGGGCATCACTAAATCTCAAAACAAAACGAATTCCAATCTAGTCCAAAAAATAAATTAAAGAATACACTTCTTAGGTATTTCAAGGGAAATCAGGATTATTAATTTGATTCAAACACTGAACACAAAGAATCTCTATTATGAAGAACTAGATATACTTTTTATATTTTTTATATTGAGTTCAACCTTAAATTCTAAACATTTTATACACTTAAAACCATATTTTAAAACACAATACCAAAGAGCAGGAATACTGTATTTTATCTATAATTATTATAAAAAAGGATTAATGCCTATTATGTAAACTGTAAAATAACACACAATTGAAATAGATCCAGAGTTTCAATTTCAATGAATGGCACAACCATCCATTTAATTATATGAGCCAGGAACTCAGAAGTCATCCTTAGACTTCCCTTCTCCCTCAGAAAGGAAAAAAAATCCAGTCTATTGCCACAATCTGTACATTCTGTCTCAATCTGTCTACTTCTTTCCATTTCTAGTTACCAATTTAGACCAGACTAACATTTGCTCTTACTTATTCTACTGCACACTTAACCCTCCAATTCATTCTTCACGTGGCAACCAGAGTCATCTTTCCAAGACACAAAACATAGCTGCTCTGTAGATGGAGGAGTCTGGAGAGAAAGGAAGGGGCCAAGATATGCAGGGATTATAAGTCATACTGAGTATGTTGGCCTTAATGTCAAGCCTGATAGGAAGGCATTACATATTTTAAATGGGAAGTAAATAAATAAATTAATTAAAAAATAAAGTAAATGAATGAATTAATAAAATTAAATAAATAATTCTTTAAAAAAAAAAACAAAACACTACAGTAAGCAAGACAGTATGGTACTGGCAAAAGAAGAGATAAATAGTTTGATGTAACAGAAAAGAGAGTCCAGAAATAGACTCACATAAATAGAGTTAACTAATCTTTGACAGTGGAGCAAAAAAATAATCTTTCTGGTTTTTTTGTTTGTTTGTTTTTCTTTTCTTTTTTTTTTTTAAGAGAGATTTTTGCTGTAGGGCATGTGTGCTTGCCAGAGAGACAGAGACAGAAAGGAAGAAATCACCCCCCAGGGGGGATGGCCACGCTGCAGTCCCTTCTCCTCCATTCTCCTCTTGGGATCTTAGGCACACATGCACATGCGCCCGGCATGAGTTTAAGCCACTGGGTCTGGGACTTGAAGTGTGGTCGACTACATGGGAGTCCAGCGATATAGCCATTAGGCCAACTGCTGGTCCTAAAAATAATCTTTTCAATACATCTTGCTGGAACAACTGAATATCCACTTGCAAAAATAAATCTAGACACAGACTTTATGTTCTTCATAAAAATTAACTCTAAATGGTTTATAGATCTAAACGTAAAATGCAAAAGTGTAAAACTCATAGAAGATAACATAGAACAGGGCTGGCCCTATGGCCTAGTGGTTAAGGGAGCCAGATCTTGGGACCAGCAGATGGCATAATGGTTATGTCCTCTCCATTTATAGACTACCACATGGTCAACCACAGTTTAAATCCCGGACCTGAAGGCTTGAAACTCATGCCTTTGTGTGTGCACCCAAAATCCTGAGAGGAGAATGAAGAAGGGATTGTAGCATGGCCATTCCCCCTGGGGAAAAATTTCTCACTTTCTGTCTCTCCAGTGAACACTCACAACCTGTAGTATCACTCTCTTGGAGAGAGAGAGAAAACCAGATCCCACATGGTCAATTATAATTTAAATCCTGGCCCAAGGACTTAAAAAACATACTAGGACCATATGCGTGCATGCCCCAAAGCCTGAAGGAACGGAGAAATGAAGGAGAAGGTACTGTAGTATGACCATACCCCACAGGCAAGTATTATTTTCTCTCTCTCTCTGGTGAGTACATACCTTCTGACAATTAAAAAAGAAATAAGATAACATAGGACAAAACCTAAAAGTTTTGGATATGGTAATGATTTTTTTAGATATAACACCAAAGGCATGATCCATGAAAGAAATTGATAAGATGATCTTCATTAAAATTTAAAACTTCTGGGCCAGCTAGTGGTGTGGTGGTTAAGGTGCTGGACTCCCACATAGTGGGACATGGTACTAGTCCCAGACCTGGTAGCTTGCTTTTTTGCTTTCCCTTTCTCTCTCTCTCACTCTCTGGTCAAATTAAAACAATAAAAATAATAATAACTGGGACCAGCAGATGGCATAATGGCTATGTTCCTGGACTCCCATGTAGTCGACTACGGTTTGAGACCCAGACCCGGTGGCTTAAACTCACAATGGGCGCATGTGTGTGAGTGTGAGTGCCCAAGATCCCAAGAGGAGAATGGAGGAAAAGGGATTGCGGCATGGCCATCTCCCCTGGGGGGTGGTTTCTTGCTTCTGTCTCCATGTCTCTCTCTGTCTTTCTGGCAAGCACACGCACCCTATAGCAAAAATCTCTCAAAAAAATAATAATAATAAAAATAAATAAATTTTTTTAAAAATGTAAAACTTCTGTGAAAGACAATGTCTCATTCGCTTATGAGAAGAAAAGCCACAGACTCAGAGAAAAGACATATCTCATAAAGAACTATATCTAAACAAACAAATAACTCTTAACATTCAAAATAAGAAAACAAAAGCCCAATTTAAAGTAGGCCAAGATTTCTTCCAATAGTGAATGGATTAAAAAAAAAAATGCAGTACAGAACCAGCAGTTAGCGTAATGGCTATGTCGCTGGATTCCCATGTAGTCGACCGCGGTTCGCGTCCCAGACCTGGTAGCTTAGAATTCATGCCGGGCGCGTGTGCGTGCCTGCCCAAGATTCCGAGAGGAGAATGGAGGAGAAGGGATTGTGGTGTGACCATC